AACATATCCCATGAAACAAAGTCACTCAGCTGTTTACAGTATCTATCCATAATGTAATAGAAACAGAACACCAAGATATCTGGAATCTAGCAGTTGAGCTATATTTAGTGTTTACATTGATAAGATAATACAGTGGAAAGAACAGCATTCCATTTCTTATTAATGATGCTGTGTTCAGGTTTTTAAGGTCAGCCACTTTGTCTTGTAGAGTACAAGAAAACCTGATTACCCTTAATTATTTTCTTACATTTAAAGTATATTATTAAATTTACATCAAATTTAATGTATTCCAGTCTCCTTCAGTATTGTAATAACCATTACTAGGGCAGATAATATGGAAAACCATTTCAATTTATGCTTCTTACTCTTCCACATAATAGCACGTATAGTTGATTTTTGCTCTGCCATTGCCTGGTATGAGCATTTCTTTGTGTGTTTGAAGGATAAGACTGTGACGGGAACACAACTGGAGGAATGTGATTAACCTCTATTCTCCCAGAGATCAAATTTGTTGTAAACCTGCTTCCTTTCTATGAGCCCTTCCACAAAGCCATATGACACAGAACATCAAGGCAGATAATCCACAATATCTGCCTTGAACTGGGTTATCTGAGTCCACACTGCCATATAATCCAGTTCAATGTGGATTTTATACAGCTGTGTGGAAGGGGCCTATGTGTTTTCCTCTCATACAGAAGTCTTCCTAATCCAGCCACCATCATGAAACTGAAAGCTTGGAGAATATTTTTTTGATTTTTGATAGCAAACAAAGATTTAGACCCCTTCTACATCTGTGTGAAATCCAGATTATCTGCTTTGAGGTGGATTATCTGGTAGTATAGACTCAAATAATACTGTTCAAAACAGACAATGTGGATTATCTGCCTTGATATCCTGGATTATATGGCAGTGCAGAAGAGCCCATAGTAATCCCTTTCTCCAGTACTATTTTCAAAATCTGATTGACAATTTCACCCACCCTCCATTTAAAAAAAAGATATTTAGAAAACCTAACACAGAAGGTGGTCTCTTTTCTAAATATCATTATCAGAAGTTATTGACTGACCAGCTTCTGTCTAAAAAAACCCCATATTTGAAGGTTTTTATACAGAAGTTGGATAACCACCTCTTGGGAGAGTATTAGCCTAGCAGCGAGTTGGTATAGATGTCTCCTGTAATCCCTTCTATTTCTATTATTCTATGAAGATCTGAATATAGTTGCACCTATGCTGTTTCTGAGAAGTTCTAGGGTACCAGGACTCACTAAGACAGAGGTTCTCAATTTATGGGTCTCCAGATGTTTTGGCCTTCAACTCCCAGAAATCCTAACAGCTGGTAAACTGGCTGGGATTTCTGGGAGTTGTAGGCCAAAACACCTGGGGGCCCACAGGTTGAAAACCACTGCACTATGGACTTAGGCTGGATCTACACTGTAGAATGAATGCAATTTGATACCACTTCTGTTATCTCATGTCTCAATATTATGGAATCCTGGGATTTGTTGCTTGGTGAGGCACGAGCATGCTTTGGCAGAGAAGGCTAAATACATTGTAAAACTTATAACTTCCATGGTTCCACAGAATAGTAATTAAAATGATGTCAGACTGCATTAATTCTACACTATAGATGCTCTCTCAAGACCTTATCACAAAGGCCAGGCAAAGAAGCTTCACCGAGGAAAGAGAAAGGCAGCAGGATGAATCTGTCACCTTGCACGTAGGTCTCTCTTCGTGACGCTTCTCTCATCACACGTGGGAATTGTTGACTTTCAGAGGAGTATCCCTTGGAGCCAGCACAACATGGGAAGCTTCCCGTGTTGTGAGGGATGAATCCAAGGACATACTTCCATACTTCCACCATGGTTGGGGGCAGGGCCTCCACTGAAAGTCACATGACATCATGTGGTGGCCAGCATGGAGCTCCATCTCCAAAACAGGCTGGAAGCATCCTAGGATGCTAAATTTGGTGAATGTGCGGCGGTTGTCATTTCTCACAAAAGCAAGAAGTTTTTACAAGCATCTTATCACACTTATATAAGGTTTATTAACACATCTATAATAAACAGATTTTCCCTGAACTGTATAATGCTCTGTTCCAGAATTAATTTAGGCTGGGTAGATCTTTTCTGAACTTCCAGCAGGCAGGTAACATAGTGCTGTTCCATATAGTCATTGCTCTTTGAAATGTTATTGGCTGTTTTAACTGTCTAGCTTGAAGTTATTTTAAATGAGAGTTTTAACACATTTTAAATATATACATAGTAAATATTTTAAATGTTTTTATTTGTTGCAAATTGACTTAGGTGCCTTGGTGAGCTGAGAGTTGGCACATGAATGTCTAAGCAAAAACCAACTAACCAGATAAAGAGAGGCTGAATATAAGATGGGGATTCACAGCCTAAAAACATCAGATCTGTAGTGCCAAATGATCTGTAGGAGCAAAGGTAGCTCTCTATCTCTTTTTCCCACTGTAGATCTAGCAGAGATTGACTGCAACACATATTAGAGTTCTTGCCCAGGCTATACTAGCAAATTTATTGTAGAGACAGGAAAGAAAAGAAAAGTGACATATATCCAGCATTAATGGGGGGAGCAGTTATTGGGAATAGTGGCAGATGTCAGCTGTTCCCTGCTGTTAGAAGCTAGTGCTGGTTAATCCACCTGACTTGTTCTTTTCTCCTGCTATCCTGCTATCTCAGGTGTGGCAAAGCACAATGTTTCAACTGGAGCATTGAAGTGAAATTCAGTTATCAAGTCAGCTAGCTTCTGAACATGCAATTGCAAAGGGGCTTAGAAATGCCAATGGCTCATTATCCTTTTTACCCTAGTGAAGCTCAAATAGTTAATTTGTTGATTGAATGTATTATCAGTTTGAAAATAACCAGTTAAATGTAACTACTTGTCATTTTCCCCTTCTGCTAATGAAGCTCAATTTATTATTCTTGTGGTGGGATTGTTCATTCACTACAAGAGGTGTTCTCAAGCCCCTTCCACACAGCTGTATAAAATCCACATTAAACTGGATTATACAGTAGTGTGGACCAAGATAATCCACTTCAAAGCAAATAGTGTGAATTATCTGCCTTGATATTCTGAGTTATGTGGCTGTGTGGAAGGGCCCTTAGAAAGATAAGGAGAAGGAGGAAGATCACACATCTCACTACTGGCTTGTAGGGTGCAAGATGTTGGAGGAATACTCTGAAGGATTGGGATGAAGTTTGTGGGGGAAAGAACTGAAAAGAGAAAAAAGACCCAGTTTTATCAGTGTCCTACCTGCTCACTTCTACTTTTGTCCCCATTTCTTTTTCTGTCCATATGGAAAGTACTTTTATTTAAACACCATAAGAGAATTGCAACTCCTAATCTTTATTCTTTTCTTGGATATTGTTGCAATCCTATCCATGTTTATTTGGAAATCAGTATGACTGAATTAAAGCAGATTTTTTCTGAATGGGCATGCATATGAGTACAGTGGTAAGCAGGTCTTTGTGGTTATGTGCCTTCAAGTAATTTCCAACTTAAGATGAACCTATTATAATTTTAGAGGTTTTTGGTTGTTGTTGTTTTTTGCTAGATTGGTTCAGAGGTCATTTGTGTTTGCCTTCCTGTAAGGCTGTGTCTTTCCCAAGGTCACCCAATGTGTCTCATGGCTGAGCAGGTTTTCAAATGCTGGTCCTGTTCCAACATTCAAAGCACTATGCCAATGGCTCTCTAAGCAGGTCCTTACCACAAAGTCAAAGGAAGGTGTGCAGTTGGTGAAAGAAAGGATCCTGTAAAGCAGTGGTTCCCAACCTTTTTTTGACCAGGGCCCATGTTGACCAGGGCCATGTTGACCAGGGCCCACTTTGACAAGGGCCCACTTGACCAGAGACCACTTGACCAGAAACCACTTTGACCAAGGACCACTCTCCAACATTAGTACCAAAAGGGGTGGGGCTGGTTAGCTCTGCGGAAAGGAGTGGAAATAAAATAAACAAATAAATAAATAAAGAGGAAGGAGGTTCACGGACTGGATTTTCTTTCTCGCAACCCACTGCTGGGCCCTGGCCCACAGGTTGAGAACCACTGTTGTAAAGAAATACACAAGGATGCAACAGTGATAACTACCTACATCATTTTCTGAAAATCTCCTGGCTTCTATACAATCAAACAAGTTAATTAATGGATGTGTTATTATTGAATGCAGTGAATTAGATTTCTGTCTGCACAACTTTAATAACAATGATTTAATTCCCCTCCTTTTAACATTCAAAATTCATGAACAGAAATTAATCCTAACATTCCAAGCACAGGACAAAACATGACATGTGGACTGACCCTTCAAACAAATTTTAGTCAAGATTCCCACAGGAACCTTACAATCAGTAAAAAATCACCACTCCCTGTCATAACAAACTGGGATAATGAGCTGCCAACAGGAATGAATCCAGAATGAGGCCACTAAGAAATGAGAGGGAAACCCCCATAATTTGCAGGGGAACTTTAAAATAAATAAACTTGAAGTCATCTTTCAAAATCTTACTGAAGATTGAATATCTTCAAATGTCAAGGAATGTTGACTGTTCCTTGGAAAAGAAAAACAAAATGACACAGGGCAAGAAGTATTGCATCCTGTATCATGGCAAAGCTGGTTAATCGGCACCTTATACAAATGCACTCTTGCTAGGAGAAAATGATATTGTAAAACATTTTGTTGTAGATCATTTTTGTTCCCTTGTCTTTTCTGCTAGATTAAGATATGAACATAAACCAGTAGCCTGATCTTAATCATTTTGACAGTAATGTTTTATGCATTAAAATGAAGAAAAAGATAATAACTGACAATCAGCTTTGTCCTTTTCATAGCATTTATTTTCAGTATTTAAATGTCTGTGGAAATTACTGTAAGAGATTATTTACAGAGTATATCTAATAGATTTTAATATAATGGCAAAACAAAATGAATAATGTTCTCATCTCTCTCTCTCTCTCTCTCTCTCTCTCTCTCTCTCTCTCTTTCAGTTAAACTTGGTATCGGTTCTCCGGTTAGCCTCCAACTGAACTTACCAAAATGGTCCTAAATATGTCTACAGAAGAGACTGTCAGAAAGGTCCATGTTGAATGTTCCTCTTTAGGAAGACACAACTACATCCTGATTTTGGTGCCAACTGTTTACACTATCATCTTCATCATAGGTATCTTTGGAAACAGCTTGGTAGTGGTTGTCATTTACTTCTACATGAAGCTGAAAACTGTGGCAAGTGTCTTTCTGTTCAATTTAGCACTGGCAGATTTGTGTTTCATAGTGACTTTGCCATTATGGGCAGCTACCACAGCCATGGAATATCGCTGGCCTTTTGGCAATTGCTTGTGTAAGTTAACATCAGCTGCCGCAAGCTTCAATCTCTATGCCAGTGTTTTTCTCCTAACCTGCCTCAGCATTGACCGTTACTTGGCAATAGTGCATCCAATGAAGTCCCGGCTTCGGCGCACAATGGTTGTTGCTCGGATAACTTGCATCATCATCTGGTTGATGGCAGCACTTGCTAGCTTGCCAGTTATGATTCACCGCAGTGTTTATTTCATTGAAAATGAAAATATAACCGTTTGTGCATTTCGGTATGAGACCCCCACCAACACAACCAACAGCACATTGGTTCAAGTTGGATTAGGCTTGTCCAAAAACATGCTGGGATTTTTGATCCCCTTTGTGATTATTTCAACAAGCTATGTATTAATCTGGAAGACCTTGAAAAAGGCTTATCAGATTCAAAGGAACAAGACCAGAGGAGATGATATTTTTAAGATGATCATTGCGATTGTACTTTTTTTCTTTTTTTCTTGGATTCCTCATCAAATATTCACTTTTCTGGATGTGCTGATCCAGCTCCGTGTGATTGTGAATTGTCACATTGTTGATATTGTGGATACAGCTATGCCCTTCACAATCTGCTTAGCTTATTTTAACAACTGCCTGAATCCTGTCTTTTACGGGTTTTTTGGAAAGAACTTTAGAAAGTATTTTCTTCAGCTTCTGAAATATATCCCTCCAAATGTCAGGCATGCTAGTCTGGCAACAAAAACAAGCTCCCTTTCCTATCGTCCTTCAGAAAACTTAATCCTGACAGCCAGAAAAAATGGGTCCTTGGATGTGGAGTGATGGCTTGGCAGCAGCGTATCTTTTCTGCAACTGGAGTGATGAGTCTCATGCTACACCGCAACCTCCATAGCTTAAAGTGTTAAACCATCTGAAACACATCATCCTTATAAAAACTGAGCAGTTGCCTTTCATTTCACATTGTGAGAAAGACTGTTGGTGGTTTACAGCTGAGTGTTAGGCAGCTGTGTTCATCAACATCCTGCCTGTTAGAAGTTGAAGCTTGGAGAGAAAGAGTATGTGGTAGGACTAAGAACAACGTACAGTGAACTCAAAAATGTGGTCCAATTTCTTATTTCATTGTATCACGTCTAAAGTTTTCCTTTGAACTTACATAAGCAATTATGCTTCTCTTTCAGGGCCTTAGACAGAGGAATATTAAATATATATATGAGTAAATCCATGTTGTTTTTCAAGAATGTGAATTATGCATCTTGTATACTACTTGATTGTAATCAAAACCTACCTAGGCTATGTTACAACTTCATATATATATATATAAATGCAAAGCCGCCCTTCCAGTAGCAAAGACTGTCAGCATTGGGATGGCATATACATGTAGCACTATGAGACTCTTAAATCAGACAAAGTATACACATGAAGCAAAATGATGTTATCTGTGTGTGCCATGGCATGAATTCAGTTGTTCATCCCAGTTATCAAAAATAATTGGATTAATAAATTCCCATTGATTTAATGGGCTCATTCTAGTTTGAACTAACAATTGAATTTATGCTAATCTTTCAATTCTTAGAGAACATTTCTTGCATATACAGTTAAATGCAACCCCATTACATCTGTGGAGCCATGAGCTAGTGATAAAAAATATATATGTGAGAAAGGTTTATGCATAAATCACCAAGCTGTCTCAGCCAACCTTGTCCAAAATAGCTCTCTCATAGAATCATAGAATCGTTGAGTTGGAAGAGACCTTGTGGGCCATCCAGTCCAAGCGCCCTTTTAAATGCAATTTACATGCATTTGTGTGTGTTCACACACTCACTGCACTAGTGTAAGTGACATAGCTCCAAGCTTCAGGAGCAAATTCTGACATTTGTGAAAATTTTATCAGGCATCATTCATGACACTGCATGTCATCATGATATTGTATATATAGGATCACAATGCTTTGATGGGACCTTCAGACTGTGTTATGAGCCCCCTCGTGGCCATCTAAAAGCATGGAGCTCCTCATTTCATTGTAGCTCCTCCACATGACAGGACTACATGGAGCAAAAGCCAATGAATGCACAGGGCTTAGAAGCTAGCTACACAGAAAGCTGCATCAATACTTACCTCAAGCAGTTTTACATGCCCAATGAATTATTGGCCACCAAGGATTGTTGTCCATGTCTCTGGGGGGAAAAAGTAGACACTGTATAATAGCCAGCTCTGTCAATACAGTTGTTAGAAGCAAACAAAAGCAGCTTGATAAATGGGTACCTTCTAAGTGTTCTCTGAATGTATAAGAGAAGGTTCACTGAACTGCACTGTACAGTGGAGCACATGACCAGGATTTAAAGAACTACATAACACTGTCAGTTATATGTATATTTATTCCATGGCAAAGACCCAATGAATCACAGCCATGCCTTCTCACATAACTTAGTTGAAGGATGAAATTCAGTACTAAAAAGGAAACTTTACACATGAACAACATTCTATTGATTGATTCATTAGCTGCGAGCATAAGTGCTGATTGTAATGATTCAGCTAATGAATTTCCTCGTGTAAATGTAAGGTGTCTTCGTATTTTTATTCACTTGTAAAGCATTTTCCTGTCTTTATTTTAAGGCCTTCAGCTCAGAGTTCTTGTTGTCTCAATGGATGTTCCACATGCCACAGGGGAAAACACATAGATGGGAGAATGAAGAAATTGCTTGCCCCTCTCTTCCATACACTATTGCTATCCACATACAAAGAATGCCTCCCTTTTCTGCTGGCAGAGTTCTTGTAAATGTTGGCTTAGCTTATGTTGTAAAGATATTTATTTGTATTTATTGTATAATAAAGCTTTATCTGACTTGAGTTTATTTTTTCCATCTTGAATTCAATGTTCCATGTTATTATGATATAGAAGATTTAGGTACAATTCTTCCTTCCTCTCTTCCCAACCAGCAGTTTCCAGAATTCCATAGTTCCGGAGAATATACAAGAAAACTCTCTAAAACAGAATGCTAAAACCCCTCTCTAAACTAGCAATCCCAATATTCCTTAGAATAAAGCCATGGCAATTAAATTGCCATGAAACTGATTATGGCACTGTACTTTGGATGAGTCTTTTCTAGTCCAGCAAACACTATGCTTCAAACATTGTATTTTTGTTCATATTGTGCTTGCATTTTTGAAAACAGTGTTGGTTAGGAAATTCAGGGAAGGTGGGTGATCAGAGGCTCGGTGAATCTGTTCTGCATTTAGTCAGAATTTTAATGCAGCTTTCCAATCCTGAACCATATCTAACTTAGGTAAATTTGCCCATCCACTGACATCAAAAAAACACATTCCCCATTAAAAGTTAGCAAGTTGTTGGATATGTATATGAATTTCCTGTGGACTTTGAATATCCTTCAGTAGTTTCATTTACACATACTGTATATAAAAACTGTAAAAGAACCAATATTAAACTTCACATAACTGATAAATGTTATACCTAAAACAGTACAAGATGGTGATGTAGTTTCTTGTACCGTAGTTTTTTAGTGTTACAACATTTGATACAATATTCTGTATAATATATATTCTGTATTTCAAAAGCTGTAGAAGATACTGTCCATATGATACATTTGTATTTCAAAACTGTCACAGTTGTTGTTGTCTGTATTATTATGGAGCATTTTGTAAAACAAGTCAAATGCTATAATAAGAGCAAAATACTCTGTATGCTCATACACGAGCAGTTGGAAATCTAAAAATACTAATCCTGTAGAGACCCATGTAGACTTCATTGCATACATGGAGGTTCCCTATTTGCTAATTAACTTATTCAGTTCGGGGGACAGATAAAATTTCTAAAACTCATCTGCTAAACTAAGGGCTGTATAGCCCTCCAGCTGTTTAATTCATCCCCAGTGTTTCTCACCACTGTGTTAACTGGCTAGAGGTGATAGGAGTTGCTATCCAACAATAGAATACATTTTTAAGTTCATAAACCTTTTTGGATATTGCTGTATTTTCTCAGATTCATCACCATTAATTTGAAACAAATGCAAAATCCAAATGATTATACTCCTTCAATTGTACCTTCGTTGTTGCTGTTCTGTGCCTTCAAGTCATTTTCAGCATATGCAAATCTAAGGTGAACCTACATGGAGTATTCTTGGCAAGATTTGTTGAAATAATATTTGCCTTTTCTACCTCTGAGGCTGAGAGGTTGTTACTTGCCCAAGGCATCCAGTAGGTTCCCATAGCTGAGCAGGGACTTGAATCCTGATCACCAGTCATAGTCCAGTGCTCAGACCACTACACCATGGTGGCCCACCAATTAGGTCACCCACTTCTGCCCTTTTTCCCAATGAGTAAAAATAACTAATGTTTAACTTTATCCTTTCCATTGCTTCTCTCAAAACTTTACACCCACTTAGCATTTTCATATCTATTTAGCCAAATCTTAAAATCTTCATAGGCCCCAATCCAGATGCTGCCTCTGAAGGAAGGGAGGCAGGTTACCACCAGGGCATTTTCCCTGGCACCAGATGAAGACATTTTTATTTACCTTGATCATTTAAGAACTAAAAATGCGGGTTAATTGGTTTTCCAATATCTATTTTTTTTAATTTGGGGATTTCCAAGTGATTGGTTTCTTTTTGTATTTTTATATTATTTTGATGTTATGTTTTTATGTTTAGCTTTACAGTATTTCTAAATTATTTTCATGTATTGTTGTTGTTGCTTTGGTAGTACAAGTCTGCCACCATGAGAAGAGCATGTTATGGTGGCACATTAGCATCATAAAATTAGTTGTTAATTGAGTTTTTCAATGCATAAACACTTTTGAATTAGCTAATTCACAAATACAGAGAAGTTTATTGCGAAATGTGAGCGGCTTGCAAACTCCTTGCTAATTGCTATAAAGCAGTAATCAAATCCAAAGGCAAAATTCATGACCTATAAAAATCACAGGCTGTAACATACATTTTGTGAAGATCACTGAATTCTGTATTTCTATCTACTGTGCATTATTTTGAGCCTGACCTTTTAATACTTCTTTACATTTCATTGAAAGACCTTGAACAATAATACAGATACCTGAATCTAAAGGCTTTACATTATTAACCTTACATTTAAGAGCAAATGCTTTATTGATGTGTATAGTTTGCAGCTTAAAACAATGTAAATGTGTTTGATTATTCACTTCCTGCATCTGCAACATATATAGATACAGAAGAACAACTATTGAACAATATATATTTTGATAAAGCATCAGTTTTATGTGTAGAATGTTGTGTGGCTTTTTGTGGTTCTGTTTGTGTCATCCATAAAAGAGAAATAATAAAAAGGACAGGAATCATTCAATGTGCAATGATGCATTTAAAACATTTCTTCCCTACTGAAAATAAGGAATAGTACTGTTGCCATTATTAAAAGGTTAAAAAAAAAATAGAATACAACATGGAGAGAATTTAGAGGAAATACCATTTCCTAGATTTGCCCTCTGATTACAAACATGCCCTCCAACTGTCCCAATTTGGCAAGGACCGTCCTGCTTAATCTTCTATTATCTTGCTTTTAGCAGCTTTTTAAATGTTGCTTTTTTCACCTCCTCCTTTCCCCATTTGAATACCTTGACCAGAGGACAGCAGACTGATTCCAGAAGTTTTACCCAGCTCTGCAACAAAAAACATCTAATTTAGAGAACCCTGGGATTAAGCCTGAGGAGCAGTACATATAAGTCTTGTATACAAACATCTATTGAGGCTGCCCCTCCCAATTGCACTGACTTTTTCAATACATTATTTTGCCTCATAATGTTTACGAAATAACATTAAGAAGGCAGTAGTTTTTCTCAATAGCTTGGGATCCATGCCAAATGACAAGCTGACAAACTGTCAGTTTATGGATTCATTAAGGTTATGTGCAGTTTAGGGTGCAAAATGAACCCAGATTTTAAATCACTTATGGTAATTTACTCTATTTCTTTTGATAGTAATTTCAAAAAAAAAATCTTTGCTTTTTTACTCTAACCATTTGACAACATGAGTGGTCACCAATGATGATGATGATATTTATTTATTTAAAATATTTATATTCTGCCCTTCTTACCCCGAAGGGGACTCAGGGTGGAGCACAGCATATATACAACAAACATTCTATGCCGGGCAAGAATTCATTATATGCATACATAAACATTAAAAACATTTGTCTCAGTATTAAAATACACTGTTTAAAACCGTCTTGATCATCTGCTTCTAATCTAATCGGCTTGGTAAGGTATCGCTGCTTTATTGCACTATCCCGAAAGCTTGGTTCCATAGCCAAGTTTTTATCATCTTTCTAAAGGACAGGAAGGAGGGGACCTATCTGATCTCACCAGGAAGGGAGATCCATAGCCACGGGACAATCACCGAAAAGGCCCTCTCTCTCGTCCCCACCAATCATGCCTGTGACAATGGTGGGATGGAGAGAAGGGCGTCCTCGGAGGATCTTAATCTCTGCAATGGTCCATAGGGGGAGATGCGTTCGGAAAGGTAAATTGGACCAGGGCCGTTTAATAACAACAACAATATTGTTGTTCTTAGGTACCTACAAGTTTGAAGTACTGCAACTCTATTAGAATTTTCTTGGTAGGATTTACATAGAGGAAGTTTGCTATTGTCTTCCTCTGAGGCTACAAGAGTGGTCATCTACTGGGCTGCCATGGTCAAGTAGGGACTCAAAGCATGTTTTCTTACAATCTTAATCCAATACTCTTCTTCTGTGACAAGGACAGAAAGAGTGTTGCTCTTCACATGCTTCTGGATCACATCTACCCTCATGCCTCTCTGCTAACTGTGCTGTCCATAGCTGATTGGAGTTGAGGTCCAATAGCATACTACATGTTCACCAATCTCATTGTATTACATTGTATTGCTTTCATTTCTTTTGCTTTATAGCCAGTGATATAAGATTTTGTCCACAGAGATTCAAAGGAATGGGGATTAAATATTTGTTTTTCGACAGGACTAAAATTAGTGCATTATATTGATCTGCTTTACAACCACATCTTTGAAAATAGCAACTTGTAGAAGAACATGTCCTCCCCATTTAGCAATCCTGATTGTACACTTCCAATCAGAGAAAATCTTTCACCCAATATTTCTCACAGAAGTTCAGTTTTTGCTGATGGAACAGAATTGTCTGGGAGCATTCTGAGGAAAAAATCAGGAAGCAAATCACACTAACTTTAAAACTTTTTTTATTGGCACTTAAGCACTTTTTCCCTGATTGAAGCAGAATTCATCAACCAATTACAAGTCCATGACAAAGCCTCCTAATGATTAGCCTTCAAGAATTGCTGTTGTTTCTTTTGACAGTTCAGAAGCTGTTTTTGTTTATTTCACGAAAAGGAAGCATCAAATCTTTTATGGACTATCCAAACTGAAGAGACAGAATAGTGACTGCTAATTATCTATTGCCATCATTTCCACTAAGGCTCCCACTGAAGAACAGAAGACTTATGTAACAATTTAGAATTCTAATTAATTCTTGTCAGCAAGTAAGGCTTCTTTGAAGTAAAAACACACATTTTCCTGCTTGGCTCTGGTATTATGTCACACAAAGGTGGCAAACATCTAACCCAATTAGAAGGAAACAATTATAAGGGGCAGCAGATGTGGAACAATTTTCTTAATTAAACCAAAAGAAATTATAACAAAGAGATGGGGAAATGACAGAGATAAAGGTCAGGAGCATCACAGACTCTTTCTTAGAAGTTTTTGCCATTTTCCAACTCTGTTGCTCTCAAAATTAGCAATGGAGTATTGTTTTTTCTTTCAGAATTTAACAAGTCGCAGAGACCTAAAAGCACATACTCATACACCTCTATACTATTCCTCTTCTTTATTCTATTTAAAAAAGAATGAAGACACATTGAATCAAAATGTTGATTGCACTGTTGCTGTAACAGCAATGATTAGCTGTATTGAAATAAGGGAACAGACAGACAAGATGGAAGTTCATCAAGCAGAGTATAATGAGTATAATGGGTAGTAAATGTATGGCCCTCCAAATGTTGTTGGACCAAGGTTTTCACCAACTCTCACCATTAATTAAACTGACCATAGTGACAATGAGGCTGGATAGAATAAGTTTGCCTTTGGCTCCTTCCCCTAGCCATACACCTTTCAGCTGAGCCAGAAAAAAAAGGTCAAGAAGAAATCTTTGTCCGAATCAGCAGAACTCTTAATAGTCCTTTCAAGTGCTATCAGCTTGTTCATAACAAAGATGAAAAGTGATGTCTGCTGTACTTCAAAATCAAATACCTATGATCTCATCAAATGGGCTGATTTGCCCGTTGTATGCCGCTTACTCTCCGTTTTTGCCACGGGGCCCAATACACAACACATAAAGACTTCCAGCCTGCTCTATGGTGAACAAGGAGAGCAAGTGGTGAACACTGTGACTGCAACAACACAGGAGGCTTCCCATGTTGCCTTTGCTACAGTGGGGGGAAGCCAGGTGACAACGCTTCCCCCCGTGTCATGGGGGCAGAGGTAAGTCGTACGATGCAGGGTGTGGAGCGATGGGTTATCCACACACCCCTCCAGAACCCCACAGATTCACCCCAATGCATGGCGATTACATAGGCCTTTGTGATAAGGTCCCTAGTCATAATAGGTATTTTCAGGTCCCTCCAGGACCACAACAGTGCCACATTCCTAATAGCAGATAGAGAATTGTGTTGACAAAATGTGTGTCATGCATGCTCTTTGAGATGGAATATTTAAGATTGTTATCAAAACCAACAGGCAATTTGGTTTTTTTATAATGACACATAAATGGCATCTGTAATTTGGTGAATTCATTCCTTCATACAATATAACCTTATCCTCTGAACAAATATATAAGTAGCAAAATGTTAATGCTAACATTTTAAACTCTTTGATAAACGGTTGGCACAACCCTGTATGTGCACAGCTGCAAGTGCACATGCCAGTTTTAACATTCCAATCTGGAGAAATTTATGGATTTTGAGTATTTTGCTGTTTTTATGTTATGCTGATAGACAATTTACTATGAAACTGAATACACAGAAACTAATATGGATAATTATGGCAGCAAGTATTTAATTCTGTCAAATTGTTAGCATCCTGTAAGGAAAAAGTGTTCTTTCAAAGGATCAGTCTCCCCAATAAAATTTAGTAATTCACAAGTATATTTTAGAACATTATGTCAGTCTTCTTTCAAACAAATTTCCAAGAGCAAGCAATACCAAAACAGAATAGAACAAATATCACAAAAATAACAGTACCAAAAATTAACTCATCTACTAGCAGGAAACTAAAAGAAAACAAGCAAAACCCAGTCAGCTGGAATTAGATCATGGTTATCGTAAAGGAAATAAAAAGCAACAGATAGTCATTGTCAAAGACCTTCAACTGTGCTTCAACAAATGACAAATCTAGGGGAATTTCATGTGGAAGGGCATAATAATAATAATAATAATAATAATAATAATAACTTTATTTATAACCTGCTACCATCTCCCCATGGGGCTCGGTGCGGCTTACATGAGGCCGAGCTCACATACAACAATACAAGTAATACAAGCAATAACAATACAATACAGCAATTAAAATAAATCTCATAACAGAAAAAGCACAAACGTTAAACAAAATACAGTGCACAATTAAAATCTATGGCTGGGCCTAAAATCTATGGCTGGGCCAAATGTAATTAAAGTTTAAAAAATAATGCTAGGCATGAACAAGATGCAGGAGGCATTTATACCTATGTGTCACCATGACCAGATCTGATATGTTTTTGCTGTGATTTTTTTTCATTTTGTAATCCACTTCGAGTTTCAGTTTTTAGAGAAAGGCAGGATATAAAACATTGGTAGGGCATGAGGTCCTCAGGGTCCCAATTTATGGTCTGTGAGGCTTCCCAATATGAAGCCCCCCCCCCAAATGTTCCAGGATAAATTTTCTGATATAATTACCCCCAAATTGGTCAAAACCTTTGCAAAACATGGGTTCCTAAGTTCCCCACATACCCAAATACCTATTTTAAAAACCCAAATAGGTCAAAATGAAACCAGAAATGATTGTGTAGGTGTGCTAGTGTTCCCACAGGTGAGGTTGCAGTGGTAAAGATGGGCATGGCCCCTCCACATTTCCCCATCCCTGATATAAATAAGTGAAACAGTCCAACAAAATAGCAGGCCTCTGTCCCCACTCTTCCAGCTGTACTTATATTTCGGGATGCTCTGTTAAACTGGTATACACAGAATTTATATTGTAAGGATATTTTTCATATTGTGTGTGGATGACCCAGCTTTGTGTTGGCTGGTTATTCAATTGGAGGTAAACAA